CTCTCTCTCTCTAAACTAAACTCATTGTTCGATGATGCAACCTTTGGCCTTGATGATGACGTTAAGTCTGCTGATGAACGCATCGCACGCTACATGAAAGTGGGACTGCGGGATTAGCTGCTATTCTTGGCGAAGACATGTTTTGAGCGCGTCCAAAAACTTTGATGTTTTTTTAGAGGACACTTTGGTCTGCAAAATATACCTCTAAAAAACATCGAAGTTTAGACGCGCTCAAAACATGTCTTCGCCGAGATTGACAGCTAATCCCACTTTCGTGCAGCGTGCGATGAGTTCATCAGCAGACTTAACGCCATTATTAAGGCCAAAGGTGATATCATTGAACAATAAGTTTTGTTTAATAAAATAAAATCATTTTGCAATTTTTTCCTGAAAATTTCAAATAAAAATATCAATAATTGTCAGAGTTGTGGCGTTTTTTCTTAGTAACAGTTAGTCTCTCGCACCCTGTGTATGTGCGTGAGATATCTCTCTCCTAAAAGATATATTTTTACTAGAAATCTCGCTTTAAAGAAGAATTTTTTCTTATCATAAATCAACTTTTCTTCAGTTAGTATCTAGCATTGCACGGCAATTACATTCAATAATTATAGGAAAATGCTTTTTGGCATTTCTGGAAAACAATTGCTTCATCTTTATTTGTGTTCGCGAATATTTACTGAAACAGGGACACATCGTGGCACCATCCAGCAGACGAACTTCGGATCGTTTCGTCAAACCGGCGATTCCGCCCACTATCGTGAGCCCCAGTGGACCGCCGACCATCGCTCCCAATCCTACGATGAATCCCGTCGCCGCGCCCCATCCTGGGTCACCGATGGACATTGCAAAAACATAAGTCGCCAAGTTGAGGGGAGGGCTCTCCACAGAAACCCCCTTTTATATAGTCGTGCGCAAGGTACTTCTCTAAACGGTGCGTTCCAGCTAAGAGATACGCGGGGAAGTTGCCCGCACTTCGGTTTGAGACACCACCGTCGGCGCGTTTTCTTCTCGGATGTTTCCGTTTGTTAACTATTACTTCAGCTCTAATGTGTAACACACGGGCTACGGCTAAGAGAGAGAGACTTCATTATTTCGATCTGAATGAGCAGATATAGAGTTAAACGATGCAATCGCAAAAGCGTCTCGCCTCTCATTGTCAGTCGCGGGGTAGTTCATTTCGACATCCCGCTTTTTCGGTGATTCCTCTTGTATGATGCCTGAAGTATCATTCAGACTGAGCTCCTTATCGTACTATGCAATTAATATCGTTTGAGTGTTCTACATAAGAGAAATGATGAAAAAAAAAAATGAAACATTGACATGTTGCTTCCATGTTCCAAGTAATCATAGCATAAATATTGAACGCGAACGCTGAACGGACATCTACATGGCATTTTTGCGATATTATTGTAATCTTACTGTGCGTTTAAGAACGTAAACGAAAGTAACTAGGGTGTAGTATCGCGGTGTTCACACGATTTAACAGGTATGCATTTGTTTAGCTTTGAGCCTGAGTAATCACTTAGCGCACGCAGTACTGGTAGAGGCGGAAGCATAACTCTAGAGAAAAGATTTCGTTAGTTCCTTCGAGGGGATTGTCTGATCTTAGAATGCGCAACCAGGTAGAGTCAGACTTCAGGGAAGATCTTAGCGATTGGGAGACTTCGGTATCTGAAAAACTTGGAATTTGATAATCGTGAATCTCTCTGTGTGTGCGTGCGTGCGTGCGTGCGTGCGTGTGTGAGAGAGAATGTGACAATTCAAGGCCCTAAAGTTCCAAGGATTCAACAGTCCAACGATCTGAGAATCTAAAACAGACTTGTGGATCTAAAAAAAAAGTGTATGCTCGAAACGCTTAAATATATCTAAGTGTCTATAAATATATATACATATACATACATATATATACATAATATTTAAAGTAAATATTTTTGTTTAATGATCAATGTAAATCCACAAAAATGTAAGTGTTCACACAATATTTTTAGGATCTTATTAATTTAAGAAATGAATGTAAAAAGAATTTAAAGAATTATTGTGTTTTCAAATCATTAGCTTCTTAAGCACAGACGTCTCTGGAGTTTCTGCTCTTAGAATCTTTGGATTTTGAAATCTTGGATCGCTAACATGTAGGAAAATGCATCGCCTCAAGAACTTTTATCCCTTAAATCTTAAATCTTTTAGTGTTAGGATATTTTGCGGAGAAGGTGGGATTTGGAAGATTTGGGTACACTGGAGCTGGGAATTAAGTCTATTGAGATCTGGTAGTGTCAAGCGTGGCGCCTGAGAGAGACAGATCTTGCGTTCAAGAGTTTACTTCCTAATAAATTGTTTTCTTTTTATATCAACGATATACATTTGTATTAACCCGTTGTCTGTTATGTTACATCGAAGATCTTAGAGTCATTGTTCTAGGAAAACGTTCGGGAAATCAGACTTCTCAAATTTCGGAAGCTTGGAACTTCATTTCTGAAACTTTATTATCTGTAGTTGTAAAATTTAGATATTTAGATCTTTGTTTTTTTTATAAAGCTTTCGAGATATCTATCGATGCTTACTTTCGAAGTTTCGGAGAAATCTCTTCGTTTCACAGACTGCGGAATCCGGAAGGCTTGGAACTCTGAGAAATGTTGAGTTATGGAGGTCAAATACCGAAAGATCGGCTGTTTTTCGTTTACTGAAGATTCTTGATATCCTGCGGTTACCACGAATTACGATACGGAGAGATCATGAGATTAATATACGAGATCGTCTCGCTTAATACATGAGATTCGTTCAAATCTACATCCACGTGAGTGATTTGCTCCCCCAACTCTTTTTTCCTCCGATTTCGTAATACGAGGTGACTGACGTTACGTTTCCCTGAGAACCCTTGTTTATAACAGGTGTATTATACATAAACGATATATGAGAATCAGGTCAAAGCGTTGTTTATTATGTTATATCGAACGATTTATATATACAATAAATACATGCGTTCGGTATATATAAAAAAAAAATGGTCGTATATGGTATAGAATTTTATGATAACGTAAAAGATTCTTATTGATAATTGTAATTACGCAGATATATGCTTCACAGCTACATAGTATGTATTTTACTCAAGCTTTTATGAAATACAGTCACGTTTTTGCTATTACACACTGCCTGCCCTTTTCCGCAATCCATCTCTCAAATTATTTACAATAAAAGAGTTCAAGCTTATAATTCAAATTAATCAAATAAAGGGCATGTGCCACAACGCAAATTGTTTTGGTAGCGAGATAATATTTTATTCTGTTGGTATATAAATAATTATAAACGTTTTGGTCTCGATCAGATTCAATAAGAAATAAAAATCTCGCCAAATTCACTGACGAATCATAAAAAAATTTTTTTATTATTAACGAACGTTTTGTGTTATTTATCTTTTTTACTTATTTTTAATTTAACTCCTCTTAACCGATTTTTATGTTCTAATCGTGCGACTTAATTTGTAAACTAATTTAAACATTTTTAGACCGTACTATGTGAGAAACACAATTAATAATAGAAATTCAAAGGCCTATAACGGTCGAAGCTAGAGCTTTAACGCTTTTAAATAATTCAATGTGAATTATATATATACTATATATGTACTTGCACATATAATATATTTGTAGTCCTTCAAACTACGCACCGAATTGGTTTTCCAGACTTATAAACGCAATTAAACTACTAGAATAATATCACGAATTAAATTGACAAGCAATTCTTAAATAATTTTGATCCACAATCAAGCATCATATTAGCAAGATGTTAATGCGCTAACATTAATGTTAATTTGTAAACATTTATCCGAGACCGAAATTTTTATTGTTACCCATACAGCACAGAATTTGCAACAGTATCGCTGCAAAATCTCTGCAATGTTGTTGCAACTTTTGTGCAACTTTGTCCTGTAGGGGTGTTTATATATTGAAAGAAGGCCTAGGGTTTCTTCAAACAAGGTGAAAATTACAAAAATGAGCAAATTTACTAGGTGTTGACCAATGAAATTATCAGTATTCTAGTAAGTTCGATCATTTTTGTAATTTTCACCTCGTTTCAAGATACAGAATCGATCCCCTCATCCCGAAACGTTAATAATTATTATTATATACCAACAGAATAAGATATTATCTTGCTACTAAGAACTTGCGTTGTGGCACATGCCCTTTATTAGATTAATTCGAATTATTTAATATGAATTACGTAATTTTATACATAATCGATGTTTATAAGATAAAGGCCTGTTTCTACCAATTGTAGATTAACTTTAATCTCGATTCAACTTACTCTTCATCTTTTTCTAGTTCCAAGGATTAGGAAAAGAAGAAGAGTGAATTAAGGGGATCCTAAAGCCGTCTATATTACCGATTAAATCGTAATTTTTGTATAACAAATACTTTTTTCTCTTTCACAGATTCGAAAAGCCTTTTCTAGGATTAAAGTATACACATTAAACTTGTTTGTGAGATGGAGTTTATGCCGAGAACGACAAAAAATTTCGAAAGTGAAATCTTAAGAAAAATTTTTTATCGCTCTCGGCATAAACTCCATCTCACAAACAAGTTTAATGTGTATACTTTAATCCTAGAAAAGGCTTTTCGAATCTGTGAAAGAGAAAAAAAGTATTTGTTATACAAAAATTACGATTTAGTCAGTAATACAGACGGCTTTAGGATCCCCTTAAACCAAAATTAAAGTTAATCCACATTGGTAGAAATGGGCAGAAAAGTAATTAAAAAATCGCGCCACCGAATTATCTCAGCGATGCCTATCGGTAATACAGAGCGAGGGTTTGCGTCTCGGCTAAAGAACTGGCGGGATCTGCAATATCGACAATTTTTCGGTGATTAGCGCGGAAATGAACCTTATTTTTGGATTCGTCTCATTGACGCACGTGCTAAAGATCAATCGGTTTCACAATGTGTCAAAAAATGTCCCCCGTCGTTAGTAACGTCTCTTAAAACGCCGAGGACGCTTATTATCACGTTGGAAAATGTCGTGAGTGATATATTTTCCTGGTTTCTCTCGATTCTCTTAAACTGGAGGCTTATCAGCCTCTCGTGAATCTTCCAACGTGTCTCAATAGATACTATAATCATCGTTTGCTGAAGGTAAATAAAATTTGTTCGTTTTCATCGTTGCAACATCGTTGATTTCTTGCTGCTCGTTTGCTTACGATCGAGGTAGGATCTTTGAGACGCACTGTCGGCCGTAGAAATCGCAGCATCGCATCGCGATGAATTCGTGCAGAAAGAAGAACGAGGAGGTATTGGCGAAGGTCTTGGACTTATTCCTACTGCCGGATTACAACGTCGTCTCGCCAACCTACTTGGATCATCTGCTCACTCATATTGCGGAGAACACGAAGGAATGTAAGGAGCAATCAGTTAATTTTAGGCTCTATCGAAATAAATCAACAAATAAAAAATGTCTGTAAAGCCTATTCTACAATGTGCTCTTTGTTTCTTGTTTCTTGCTGTTTGTCTCTGTTTGTCGAGAGCACATTGTAGAATAGTTATAAGAGTCAAACACATAGGGTGCTTTCCATCACATAAGTCGATACTAGTGTTTTATCTTTGGGAGCTTTCCAGCAAGAGACACAAATTGACACAAGAGTCATCCTGTCCTTGTTCGATAATCAGTAAGAAACAAAGACTCTTGTGCCGATTTGTGCCTCTACTGGAAAGCTCCCTTTGTTATTGAATATCAAGAAAGATAGAATGATGCTTGTGTCAACTTATGCCATCAAATGAAAAGTACCTTAAGTATCCTTAAATAAATAGAACAACGTATATGAAATTATAGGCGATTTTTGGCATGCTTTTGGTTGCTATACCAGAAGCACGCCAAAAATCGCCTTATGTGATGAAATTTTATATAAAATTAAAATTTGCGATATACAGAAACTCTGATCTGTAAAATATTGATCTGTTTGCACAATTAACTTTGACATAGTTTTGGCGAAACAATAACAGTACATTTGCCAATTAAGTTTGAAAAGAAATTATCCAATGATTGAGTTTGTTATTAATCGAAGAAATTATGATAAATTGTATAAGTATTATGTCCAATATGATTTGTTCAACCGAGTAGTCATTTCTAAATTTATTATGTAATACAATATAAATTGAACACAATATATTAAATATTATCGAGTATATACTTTGCTATTTAAATTGTACAGGCGCTACAGTTGATTATGAATACTGCGAAGTCTTTCAAGAATGGATACCAAAGGCTTTAGCGATATGGGAGACTGGACAGAAGGCTTCGCACCCTGTGATTACATTTACTCTGAAACTAGTGGGGATTATCTCGCGGCATGAATTACGTTACCACTATTGGCACTGCCAGGACGTGTATAATCGACTGTATAAAATTCTGCAGTTGCACAGAGAGGATTTGCCTGCGTCCATTAAAATGGCATATACCACAATGCTGTCAGACTTGATTGTCCATCGAAGCGGCAGACAGTGGGTGATACAATCTGGTAAGGCAAAACTGCGACACTAATGTTTAATGTTGATCTAAGCTGTTTTCCTTTTAGGAGATACACTATATTCTATCTTTTTTATTCGTTGAATGTCAAGAAGGATAGCACAATGTTGTATCTCTTAAAAAGAAAACAACCCTTTGTATTGTGAAAAGTAAAAGAATAAAAGATTTTGGGACATATATATTTTTGAATTATGATACATATTACTCATTTATAACAATGATATAATTACATTACAATGATGTAACTAAAAAATTTTTATTTTTTAGTTGCAAAAAAGTAGTGGCAACATAAAGAAAAAGCAAAACGAAAAACATACCATAAAAATACATACTGTTATTTTTCTACAATCGGTTATTATATCAAAATGGAACTTTAAAATTAAAGTATTTTGATGATTCAAAATTTTTAAACTTATTTTCTGGGGAACTTTATTTTTTAGTTGTGTTGTAGTTGTAACAAGTGAAATATATATAAATAAATATAAAATGATTTTGGAACATATTGAAATTTATATATTAAGAGTTTGCAAACGATATGACTGCAAATTATTATTCTCTTCCTAAATGCAATAGGTGTTTGGAAGGATGTTGTAAAGTACGCACATTGGAATCAAACAATGTATGTTACCAGGGAGAGCCAGAAATTCTTATGGACCTTGCTGTTGCATGAACATAAGAACGTCGAGGCTTGCAAAGAGATCATTTTAGCAGTTGCTGCTCCTTTGATGAGCAATATTTTGGATGGACAAATGCACCAGGCTCTGGAGGAAACGTATCTGGAACAGAACAAGCTGTTGTGTTCCACGTTGAATTTATTGACTAACATCCTGGAGAACACTCTGTTCGCAAGTCTAGACAATAGCATTCCCGAGTTGATCGAAAGACTTGTAGACCTCGAAATGCGAGTGAAGGCGTTGTTCGAAGCCTGTATCAGCACTAGATTCCTCCAACATGTGCACAAACTATTACTACTGTCGCTATTCTTGAAGCTGAAGCAAGGAATTAAGGAGCACACCACAGTGATCGAGACCGAAGCGTGGCACAAGTTCTGCTACGGTATGTGTTACATTTTTATGATGCTGTTATCGAAGAAGGACATCATAGAACTAGTGAAGAACAATAAGTTCTCTATGACATATTGGAAAAAGCTGCTTGCGTTACATGAATTTGTTCTGCCAGAGCAGCATAAGTTTGAGCATCAAGCCATCGCCATAATGGTAAGTCAGTCGCAATTAGAGAAAAAAAATGATTCTATCTGACGGTAACTTACTCGGTAAATTGCAATAGATTATCAGGTAATTTTGGAAAGCAGGCAAAACAGTAATCTAAAAAAAAAATATTATTAACTATCAAAAACAACGAATTTCATCAAAATTATTAATAAATTATCATCTAATTGTAATTTTATTGTAAGTAATCGTCACGTTGAATCTGATGGTTTTATATCTTTAGTTGCAGTTTATGCATTCATGTATGTGATTGGATAGTAATATTAAAAGTTAAACTGCTTTTAATTCATTAACAGATAATACCACTATGCGTTTGTATAAAGAAGAATCATTTGAATCACGATCTCTTCGATATGTTCATTAATAAAATTTTCGACGTAACATGTATGCCTGTACAAAGATTACTTTACAACATGAGGGACATTATACGGAAGAGTGATCTTCCGATGGAGCAAATTTGTAAAGTTTCTATCGATCTACTCCTTGAGATATCAGACATAATGGATAGAGTGAGTACATCCGATTTATTAAATTAAATTAATTTTTATCTTAACTTTTGTAATTTTAATTGTTTGTCTTTTTCCAGGATGTCGCTGTGATCACTTTCCAAGCTTTAAGTCACGTTTTGAAAAGTTACATGCCGGATATATGGGGATGTGGGCAAGCGAGAAACTGTACGGCAGACATAAACAGTACCTCTCCTTCAGAGCATCCGCGAAAGCTTTTGTACAAATCGATATTGGATGGTGATCCCATAGTCGATTCTCCTATTCTATTGGCATCGCTGCTTGATGGCTTGGTTGCGTGGAAACGATATGTATGTTGTCCCTCGCACAGGAGATTCTCAATCATCCCGGAATATTACCAACGGTAAAAGTTTGCTGAAATCAGAGTAATGAATTAATTATTTGTGCGAGAAGAATTGAGTCAAATAGTCGTTAAAATCGTTACTTATAAAAGGACCTGCGAAATGATGATTCAAATTTTGATTTCTATTTAGATCTGTGTGAAAGCATTGAAACTGTGCAAGCTCGCCATCCATAACTTTATGCCGCCTAATTTGGCATTACTCGTGGATTCAGATAGCAACATGAACGAGATTGGACCTACGCTCTTCAAAAGATTGCACGATCCCAACTGGGAGGTGAGAGACAGTGTTCTTGAGGTTCTCAACACCATCGCGACTATTTCTGAAGACAGTAAGCAAATCAGAATATTGAAACTAGTATAGGTAGTCTCTTCAAGTTTTATTTGTTTCGACTAATACAGAACATAATCAACGTATAACAAAATATAGAAATATTTAATCTTTTTACAGAATATCCGGCATTCCAGGATTTTCTGTTGATCAACCAGTTTCCAACAGTGGCGGTCGAGATCATTAAAACAGACAACGAGAGTTATGTGCGAGCGTCAGCATTAACATTTATCGCGACTATGGTACGCATCAGCAAGCTGTGGAAGCAGCAATTGTCACAAAAAAATTTAACCGTACGTATATTTGTTTTTCTTTTCCAAATATCGTTGAAGGAGATTAATTATGACTTAACTGATTTTTACAGGAAACGGCGATTTATCTACTCAAAGACGAGAGCGAAGCGATAGTCAGAAGAGATGCTGTGAACCTAATTAAGGAGTTGTATGTTCATCAGAAGTGGTCGTATGTATAGTTTTTTAAATTTATATATTAATACTCTTGGCATGCATTGTATGATCAATGTACAATTTGCAGGAAAGAAGTCATTGATTCAATGTTGCGAGCGATGTGCATGGCGGCTGTGTTTGATCTGCACTGGGAGGTGAAGACGAATGCATTATCCTTTTGGGACCATTTTGTCAAGTCGCACTTGACGGATCAGGGAATGCTTGACGACTCGTTCCCGAACGTAACGTTCTCCAAGGAGCACAGAAAGATCGTATCATTGAACGAAACCGAAATTAAGCGAAGACTTAATAAAGCACTGGACGAGTTAGCCAGGCAAAGTTGCCTAGGAGTAAGTAAATAATTAAATAACAAAGAATTCTGATGTGTATTTTATATCTTTAAATTTATCACAGCCCATAAATAATTGAATGAATAAATGAATTGATGTAATTCGTAAATTATTAATATTTATTTTGTAAATAATAAATATTGAGAATTAATGAATAAATATTTAGTCTGAGTAGTTTGTTATTTTAATATTCTAGGTACTTCTGGTTACTCTGAAGGACGATAGCGATTTCGAGGTGTGCAAAGCGTCCGCCGCGATAATCAGCAAGTTAAAAACCTGCCTACTCAAATATAAATTGGACGAACCGCCGTCGCCGGTGGAAAACCACGCGACTATAGACACCGTCTATGTTAAAGAAACATCGCCCGTTTCCTCGTCTATCTACGACAAGGAATCGCGAAATGCCTCACACGTTATTGAGGAGATCGTGGACGCAAACGATGCCAATCTGCTCGCAACCATCTACAAGAACTCGATGAACATGGACGCCGAGATGACGACAGAGGAAGAAGAGAAAGAGGAGAAGAAAACACTCCGTTATATCTCGTCCGTAACTCGCCAGGATTTCCTCCACGCGATCTTCAACTGCGACATTGACGCTTACATCGAGGAGAAGAATCGCTGGCTAAAGACATATACCAGTAGCTTTGAGTCGATTTTGGACGACATATTGACGATGTCTAAGCAGAATGACGTCAACTCGATGGACTGCTACTGAACTCGTGGCAATGTCGCTTTACGTGTGTCTTAACACATTATAGGCCGGTCGTCTAAAATTAGATATTATGAAGATCAACATTAAACGACTGGTTTTCTAAAGAAGAGTTTTTGTTATAAAAAACATTTTAGAGTATGTACTTAAATACACAGGCATTGTCAATTACCTCTATTCTAGTCTGTAATCATTCTCATTTTCTTAAACTATTGCATCTATTTCCAAAACACCAAATTTTGTCGACTACAGCACAAAATATCGCCGGTCGATAATGTGTTAAGCAACAATATGACGTGCATTCTTTTCTTACATTGGACGACATGTTGATTGTACAATTGTCAAATATTGCATATATGAAGTTATTGTATATATTTGAATATGTTCTTGAAATCAAGTTAAAATCGAGCGGTGGAAATTTATTTTTAATTTCTATGAAGCAGTCCGTTAAAATTTATAAAATATTTTGTTGCACTTCTGTTTTGCTTACGTATATCTTGCAATTTGTTCTTTTGTTATAGTATTGTTCTTCTCTATATAAAATATATTTTTTTCTTATTCTTTGAATAGCGAGTAAGAGATTGTGTAATGTTCTTGTTTTTATTTTAAGTACATTTTATTATTCATGTAACAACGCATGTTTAATGGCATTGACATTTTGCATATTGTTAATGTAAACAATAAAACAGGAAACCAAAGAAAATTTATATGTGTCTTAAGGAATAGATACACGAACATTACGTTTACACATAAAAGTGATGCATGGGATTTTCCTCCTTTTTATCTTAATGGATATCTGTTTCTTATTGAAATAAAATATTAAATAGTTTCTGTTTATTTTATATGTTTGTTTTCCAAAGATTAGATATTGCAGTGGTAATTTACATCACCTGGGTAATAATCTTATATATAATATATGAAATTTTGGAAAAATATTATTCTGTGATAGAAAAAAATCCAAAACAAATTTTAAATTTGATCATATTTTGGATTTTTTCTATCACAGAATAACATTTTCCAATAGGTCTGTTCTTTTTAGCTAAAGTTCTTGCACGGTCACTTTTTTCTTTTTCTCTCCAACGTGGAGGGAAGAGGAAGAAAGATGAACTGTGCAAGAAGTTCAACTAAAAAGAGCAGGCCTAATATTTCATATACGAGGGACACTACTTATATTTTGAGCCTTGGCAACACTGAGTGTTGTCAGGTGCCATCTGACGTTTCTACTAGAAAGTTTGACATTTTTGACCATAACCTTCTTCAGAACGTTTTGTTATTTGAGCGCGATTTGTATTGTTTACAGTCACTTGAAAATTGTGTCTCAGCGAAAAAATGGAATTAACTCGTGAAAATTTTCGTGCAATGATTTATTACGACTTTCGACGTGGATTATCAAGACAGGAGTGCATCGATCAACTTACTTCCACTTTTGGCGATAAAGCCTCATCCTTTGCCACTGTGAAACGCTGGTATAACGAATTTAATCGTGGTCGCCGTTCGCTCACCGACGAAAGTCGTGAAGTCCAAAATCAATTGTGTCAGAAAACATTGATGCTGTGCAAAAACTAATAATGCAAGATCGTCATGTGACATACTGTGAGATTGAGACAACCTTAGGCATTAGTTCCACCAGCATACATAAAATATTGCATGATCATTTAGCCGTGAAAAAGGTTTGTTCTCGTTGGATCCCACATAATCTGACAAAATCTCAAAAAGATGCTCGTGTCGATTGGTGCAAACAAATGCTTAAGAAATACAATGGCGGTGCTTCAAAAGACGTGTATAAGATTGTAACAGGTGACGAATCATGGATCTATGCGTATGAGCCGGAAACTAAACAGCAGTCGACTGTATGGGTGTTTCAAGATGAACCAAATCCAACAAAAGTTGTTCGCGCTCGAAGCACTTCGAAACAAATGGTCGCCTGTTTTTTCGGAAAAACTGGTCATGTGGCAACAGTGCCTTTAGAGGAACGTAGAACGGTCAATTCTGAATGGTACACAACCATTTGTTTGCCGGAAGTCTTCGGTGAAATAAGGAAAACAAACAAGCGCCGCCGGATCATTCTTCATCAAGACAATGCCAGTTGTCACACATCTCGTCTAACAACCGACTATTTGAGCACTCAAAAAATCGAATTAATGGGTCATCCGCCGTACAGTCCTGATTTGGCACCAAATGACTTCTTTTTGTTCCCGAACGTCAAGAATAAATTGCGTGGACAACGATTTTCGTCGGCAGAAGAAGCCGTTGATGCATTCAAAAACCATGTTTTGGAGGTGTCTCAAGCGGAATGGAAAAAATGCTTTGACAAGTGGTTCGAACGCATGCAAAAGTGTATAGATCATAAAGGAGAATATTTTGAAAAACAATAAAGTCATTTTCAATGACAAATTACTGTTTTTTTTATTATTAGGCTCAAAATATAAATAGTGCCTCTCTTATGTATACGAGATGATAGGATTTGCGAAACAAACTGATTTTTAGGGACAACTATTTTAAATTTGCATAAATTTAGCTGACAATGATTTCTTAAATAATTTTCTTATGAATTGTTCGTATTTCGTATAAAGACTTTTAAAAATGTAATTAAGAAAATTTTATCCAAATAATTTTAATTAATTATATATTTTTTTGCACTATGCAGTTAATATAAATAAATTAAACACAGTTATTAAACACAGTACAAAATTCTTTGTATTTTGTATAATTGAAAAAATTTGATAGTCATTTGAATAATTTGAATTAAATAATTTAAAAATATATGACTAATCGATATATGGCTAAATTCATTCAGGTTTATTTTAAATTCGTCACACACAAACCGGGGTTTTCCCTCAATTCGTAACAAAAATACATTTAACAAAAGTCAATTAATGGTACGTCTAGTATAAATAAATGTTACAATATGACGTGTTTGCAGGCAATTAATATTGTATAGGTCAATATTTATAGTTCATTCTTATTTTAAGACCATCTTAAGTAATGTCTTAAGATGCAATAATAGATTATTGATTTCAATCTCTCGCTTTCGATATCATTTTGATATTATAATGTCTTGTCGTCCTGCTTGGGTAAATTAAAGTTATAATTAGGGATGTATCGGATATCCGAAAAGTATCCGGTATTATCCGGCACTTTTTTACTATCCGACTGGATAGTCGGATATCATTAGTATCCGGGAATATATCCGGTTGAAATTTTATATCACTAAATTGTTGATTTGTTACACAAATGTTTTAGAAATAAGTATGCATATTAATGCCATAACATCTTATACATTGTTGCAAAATTACAATTTTTTCTCTACAGCCTCTTTTTTTTCAGAAGACAGTTTTCCGAAATCCGGTCGGATATCCGACTCGAAGAAACTGCCTTCTCGGATATCCGATGTTACATTCTGCCCAGATAATTTTACGATCCGATGCATCCCTAGTTACAATCTACGTTGGATTGTGAAATGATTCATATATGTGGCTGTTCCTTCTTGACGGCCCTTTTCGAAGCAACGCGTGCGCCGCGCAACGTGACGCGCATGCGCGCGCGAGATCGCCCTTTAGTTTTAGTTTCAAATGCCGTCGCCGGTGCAGCGCACAGCCGGCAATTCCGGCAAATCGTCAGTAATGTGCGAACCTTTGCGTGGTAATGTAGCTGATAAGGCGTGTTGGTTTTGCAACACGAAAAAATACGAAAAGAAGAAACGAGAAAGAAACCACAGTCTCGTGTATGATTGATACACCACTCGTATACTGTCTCAAGATTAACTTAACAGAAAAGTGCGTCGCCCGGAAAAGTGCCGATCCAGCCCGACGATGTCATTTTACTTTCGCGACTCGCCGAGATTCGCGGACCGACTGAGCGGCATGTCCGACGACGAGCTGCTGCGAGAAATGAAGCAGCGATTCAACAAGGATAAGGAAGGCACGGTCTTCGAGTCCGGCAGGCCTACCAGGACCGACTCCTTCGACCGGCCCTTTTCGCATTTTCCCAGAGTGAGTATATATTGTTCATCAATTCATCAACTCATATAGCAAACTTTATCTGATCTAGAGACGTCCTGGAGTTCCAAAACTCGACTCTGTCGATTCCAATATCTTCCTAAAGAGAACAAGAAAATCAAAAGAATGTCAATTTGACGTCATATTGACGAATTTATGCCATTTTTTGGTCATGAAAAAAATCTCGACCTCAGATCTAAGAATGATTTTTTTTATTGTTGTCTTTTTTATTTTTATTAAAAATTAAAAATAAAAGACAACAATAAAAAGAAGTCAATATAAAGTCATTCTTAGATCATCTGATTCAACATTCGATGAACAACAAGGATAAAATAATATTCGGGTTGACAGAGTCGAATTTTGGAACGCACTCCTAGGAACGTCTTTAGGACATCCTCTGGACGTCTTTAAGATATCCCATGGAGGTCTGTGCTGTATGAAACCCAAGGAGAACCAGAAAGTCAACATAATGTAAATTTGACGTCATATCTCGAAATTATGACAAAAATTTTCAGTCAATATGACATATTAAGCCTGTTTTTTTAGCTGAACTTTTGCACCAGTTCATTTTCTTTCCAGGAGCAAAGAAGAGGAAGAAAGATGAACTGGTGCAAAAGTTCAGCCAAAAAGAACAGGCCTATTATTTTGACTTTCTTATTCTCCTTAGGCCCAGTTCTACGACTCACGGTTAACTCTTAACCGAGGTTTAACTTGTTTCTGTTTCCAATTCTAAAATTGGAACGAGACAATGAATAAGTAGAACTGGGCCTTAATTGGGAAGTATCGTTCGTTCGTCGTCGCGCCCTTCTTCCTCGCGCACGGAATTCACGATCGCGTCCGCGGTATGCCTGCGGAATGCCGCGGCGTGCCTTTTTACCGACCTTTTATTCTCCCTCCGCTTCCCACTCGTCTCCCACATGATCAATCGATCACGTCGAAGGGAAATGAATCTTTGCGTCGTTTCCTTTTCGCACCGTTTGCCACTAAGGCCCAATTCCACAACTCACGGTTAACTCTTAACCGAGGTTCAACTTGTTTCTTATCTCTTTCCAATTCTAAAATTGGGTGTTCAACATTCGATGAACAACAAGAAAGAATTATTTTATTCTTGATTAATACTCGGGTTGACAGAGTCGAATTTTGGAACGCACTCCTAGAAACGTTTTTAGGACATCCTCTGGACGTCTTTAAGATGTCCCGTGGAAGTCTGTGCTGTATGAAACCAAAGGAGAAAAAAGAAAGTCAAAATAATGTAAATTTGACGTCATATCTTGACCGAAATTATGACAAAAATTTTGTCAAAATTGGAAAGAGACAGTGAATAAGTTGAACTTCGATTAAGAGTTAACCGTGAGTTATGGAATTGGGCCTAAATACTCCAATACGCGAATTTTAAGGGGGGTTTCACCTTTGCCGGCCGTAAAATTAGTTCAGTTTTATGAATTTTTTAAAGAAAATTTATTATATATAGAACGAAACAAGGTTTTGCATGAAATTATGTTATGTTTAAACAGTTAAAAAAATATTTAATTAGACGAATATGTATTTTAATGTCTCCAAATGGCGATCGAATTAGGGGTCATCTGCAAAACACGTCTCCATGATGGAAGTAATATTGATTCTGCAAATAATCCCCAGACGGCACAGAATATTTATGATAAATATTTATTAATATTCATTTTTTGAAATATTATATAGATATTTCATACATATTTTATATAAAGCTTTATTCGAAATATTATTAAAATATAGACTCTCTAAATATTTTATGCAGTATTTGTGATAAATATAAATAAGTATTTCTAATAAGTATTTTTTACTTGGATTATAATGTCTCATTAAGTATGTTCATAGCATTTACTATAACATTCACAATAAATATAATAAATATTTCATAATATTTATAATAAATATTTATGATCTGTGCAATCTAAGACCACAAAAATATTTACAAAATATTTAAAATAAATCTTATAAATATTTAAAAATATTTTGTAAATATTTTATAAATATTGTGTGCTGTCTGGATCTGAAATCAAAATTCTTTTCATTTTTATTAATTATATGAGTGTCGCTATAGCACTATGAACTAAAATAATGTCAATTGCCTGAAATTTTTAAAGATGGTGGCATTTTTAAAAAATTTACTTTTTTTTCCTAAAAATTTGTTACTTTTTTGTAAATAACATCTAATATTTGTTGTAAAATCTTGATTGTAGTTCGTGCCATGCGCAAAAGTATTAGGATCAAGCGGAAAAAAGAATTAAGTCGATATCTTAATCTATTTTTTAATTATCAGTTCCGTCAGGTCGAAAAATGTGAAAGAATTTCGAGAAAAACGCGTTTAAAGTTTTGAAACATATGATGCAACCGACGTGTTGTAAGACAAAGTACGAGGTTCGAGCAGTTCTAACGGTTTTCTATCTGCTCCTAGTATATGAAAGTAACAGCAAGTCTTTTTCTGGACCAATAGGAACTGACATCTACTGGTTTTCTTTAAATTATTACTTCAATAGCATTTACAAGAGCTTACGTATTTGAGCTCATAGCTCCGTTAATATTACGAATTTAAAAAATCCTTTTACATATTTAAAATGCCACCAAAAATGGTATTTTAACCCACACTCAAGAGCCACAAAAGTGGCTCTCCCGGCAGTCTAAAGGTTAAAGGTTTGTCTTCTGCATCTGCATCCTACACAGCATGAATTATACCAGCAATATTGCAGTAACATTACAATATTTCAGCAATACTGCAGTAATCCAGACAGCACAGAATATTTATGATAAATATTTATTATTATTCATTTTTTGAAATGTTATATAAATATTTTATACATATCTCTCTCTTATATAAGGCTTTATTCGAAATATTATTAAAAGAGACTAAATATTTAATGTAATATTTATGATAAATATGAATAAATATTTCTGGTAAATATTTTTTACTTGAATTATGTCTTATTAAGTATTTCCATAGCATTTACTGCAAGACTTATAATGAATATTCCATAATATCTATAATAAATGGTTATGATCTATGCATTCTGAGAGAAGATCACAAAAATATTTAAAATAAGTCTTAAAAATATTTATAAATATTTTGTAAATATTTTATAAATATTGTGTACTGTCTGAAAACATTATGGCAAGCTTTTTACTTTTTAATAGCATAAAAGGAATTTTGTCTAATGTAAAATAAATTAAAAAATAATTGTCTAAAAAGAATTTTGCAGTACAAAGTTGCACAAAAGTTGCAGCAACACTGCAGTCAATATTGCAGGGATTTTGCAGCGATATTGCTGCAAATTCTGTGCTGTATGGGTTACAATATAGTTTTATTAATGAATTAAAATTATGAGGTGAGATATAAGTAAACTTCGATATACAAACCTTAGCGTATTGATTATTCCAGCAATATTGCATTAACATTATGGCAAATTTTACTTTTTACGTTTTACTTTTTAATAGCATAAAAGGAATTTTGTCTAATATAAAATTCTTAAAAAAATTATCTAAAAAAATTACGATTCTTATTAATAATAATTTTAAAAAAAGTGAGGCATAGGTAAACATCGATTGAGGTATAAAGTTCAGGGTATTGATAAAGGAGGATGCGAATATTAATAGATACGTCGTTTACGTCTTCGTCTTCATTGCCGCCCGCGGCATCACGCGCGAAATTTAAATCGCGACGAACAAATCGGAACACGCGCATGCTGTGCCGAATTTCTTTATATTTATAGCACTGTCCCAATTCTCTTTTTCGAAACGACGATTGTGTCGGTCGTTTAAACGAAGGTTTCGCTGCGATGTCGATTCGCAATTTTTCTCCGATTTGCCGGTTTATTCTCGTCATTGCGATATTTTCAGATCGCACGTGAAACTATTCGGATCGCACGACGATAAAAGCGAAACGATTCGTGACCGTGCGAGTCTCTCGTTTAATTAAAACTTTTCTCCGAGTAAATGAGAGATCGTAAACGTAGGTAAATATTGATTCGCGTCGATCGAAGATTAACTTCGTGTTGACGATGACGGACGAGTTCCGATATCTCGCCACTTGAAGACATTTCCATTGCTAGTCGTCATTTCTAAAAAGATTACCTGATCAGATTGCTCGTAAAAGATCTGTTTATATTATTTATTGTTAGACTTTTTTTTATTACCAGCAGAAGAGAAACAGAACGAATTTCTCCAGTATAATATCATGCTAAAAATATCGTAACGATCGAGAGAGGAGAGAATAGAATAGTTTATTTACTTCAACTTACATGCCAAGAAGGAATTTGGCTTACATCATAAACTTAATCATACATATCCATCCATTCCTTATAAATTAATAATTAACTGAATGTAACAATTAGCCTTTACAGGAATTCAATTTAATACTAAAAATTACTTATTTTGAAGATTAAAAACATTAAATGATTTGCTTTTTTATTATAAAAAATAAGTAATTAATCACTACTTTCCAGTATTAAATTTCTGTAAGGATAATATACATAAATCACCGCGTATCGACGTTTTTTATTATATCTAACACAGTTTTTAGTTCTTTTCATTACACCATTTATATTATTAACTCATTATTATTGCAAAATTTTTACACAGAGGAGAGAAGAGAGGAATAAATAACGACCACTTATAAGGCTTTTCATTCAGTTTTCAGCTGTAATCTTTCTATTCCACTTAAAAGTGTTTTTATCTTTGCCTTTTTTTAGAAAGCTCAAGCAATTATTATCGAACTTATCAGGCGCTCGTTCGATTCTTCTTCATTAAGTATAAGAGTCGAGGAAAGAAATTTCTAACACATTTAAGCGAAGAATTTAAGATCAAAGAGAATATTGGTGCCTAATAATATTCTTACATGAATCTTACAACTTCCAATTCAAGCAAAACTGCGATTCGATTGTACATTTATCGGTCTTGAAACACAATCTTAAACTGAAGTTGATGTATGTAATATCACAAATTAAATTGACAAGCAATTTAAT